TTCTCTTTTTGGCGAAGGCCCTTGGCCTAAAAGGGTGTTATTTCGAACTTATCGAAATAGTAACCCGTCGTCGTTCGATCGACGTCGAACTCTTCTCTTTTTGGCGAAGGCCCTTGGCCTAAAAAGGTGTTATTTCGAACTTATCAAAATTGTAACCCATCGTCAGTCCTAGTTTTTGGAGAGCCAGATATCTTCTGGGAGAGTCACAATCCTTTTAGCACTGCTCGCAACGGAGGGTACAACTTCGGAGAATGTGAAGCGTTGCTTTTTCGCTTGGGTTCGCTCTGCGCACAGATTGTGGTTTCCTTGCCTGGCTCCTGTCTTCCAGCTCAGAGATATTGCTGGTAGGAGGTTTCACCGTTGTTTTGTAGTAGTTTTTCGTCCTTTAATTGGAGTGTTTCTTTATTCGTTCGCCTGCACGGCCATTGTACTCCTACTTGAGTAGAGATTAGGAGGTGAGTTAGGATGAAACTTTCCTTGACCCCGTCCAGTGGTCCGATAGGGGAGAACTGACTGGCAACGTCGTTCGCCTTGTTTGCTGTATTGATGGCTGATGGGGCGAAGGTTTCTAAGCTTGATAATTTTGCTTGGCTCTTCTCCCCTATCTCACTGCTCCTTTGTCTCGCGTGGGTTGGGTTTTACCTTCGCGCTCCTTTTGGTGAGCGATTGTATTTCTCGTCTTTGATCTGGGAGAAACTAGGAAATTTCACTAAGAAATCCCTATAGATGGCGCCAAATTGTTTGACCCAAAAGATATTGAAACTTTTTTGAACAAATCAATAAAAGATGAAGGGGTAAATCTTATTCAGATATAACAAATTCCAGATCAAAGAGCTAGCAGTATGGATCATATGTAGGATGACAGAAATGTAAATGATCTTATTGAGATTCAGTATTGTGTCTCCCATCAATTGATGAGGAGACCACTTTACATATTTTCCTAGAGATTCATTCTTCTCTATCAAGAAGACTAGAGGAGAGCTTTTTTGCTTTAGAGAGAGATAGGAGGAGCAACCCCCCTTGTTGAAAGCTTTCCTTTGCTATATATAATCGTAACACCCTTGCCTTTTGCTTGGCTCGACGTCCTCTTACCTCGAATGTGTCTTAGTCGTGCTTTTAGGCGCCGATCTTGCCGACTCGTCAGATGTCGGGGAGGAGATATGGAGCGGTCTATATTATCTTTCGCTGCCCAGTTACTTAGGCGGGACATTGGTCAGCTCGGTCGCGACGGTCAGATTTTGACCAATACAGTGTTCATATAACTATGAAGGGCTACGATTGCTTTGTAATTTATTCTTGTATTTTTTGTTATTCTTCATCTTTTGCGGACCAGAACAAGAACACTAATAGTTCCAACTGACTATTACTTTGAGTATGACAAACATGTACCTAGTGCACTGATTTTTTATTTTATTAATTAATGGAATTAATTACTGATTTTCTACATATAAAAAGCTAACCAAATTTTATTCTATTAAATAATTAATTTATATATATAATTTTTTATAAGAATACAATACACTCTGATAACCTTTTGCTTTATGACACTTTTTGCTATGTATGCTTTCATAGGAGGGAATGACTAGTTTTGGTATTGGCATGAGATAAGTACATTAGAACGATAAAATTTTTGACGCCGACAAGTTCCTTTTTGTTCCGATCCGCAAAAATGGAGAATAACCAAAATTACAAAAATAAATTAAAAAGCAATCGTAGCCTTTCATAGTTATATAGACACGTGTTATTCATATGTAGGTGTATTGATATTTATTGGAGGCAAAAGTAATGGAGCATAGCCGAACCTTAGGAAAATTAACTTAAGAAAAGTTTGACAAATACTTTAGTTTTGCTTTTAAGGGCAGAACTATATTACTTTTTATATATAAAAGATTTTCGGGTCTTGAGGGGAAAGTCTATCGGAAATAGGGATAAAATCTATGTACACATTATTCTTCTCAGATTTCATACTGTAAAAATATACTGAATATATCAATATATAAATATAAAGGTGGGAACTGGCAAGATGATATGACAGTCCTCTAAAGTAAGTATTGTTATTTATCTTTTTTCCTGATTTTTTTGGACTTTCATCCTAATTTTCATACAATCTCCATTATTAAAAAGCTTTTGCGACGTAATTATTGTTATGAGTTTAAATAAGGGAAGGGAAGGAAATTTTGGAATTGAAATACATCTTTCATCATATACATTAATTATGAATAGTAAATAAGGAGAGGAAAAGATACAGTTTAATTGGGTAAACTAAACAGCTTTATAGCCTGTTTGGCCAAGCTTCTTTTTGGCCAGAAGTACTTTTTTTTTTGCCAAAAGCACTTTTGGCCAAAAATTGAGGTGTTTGACCAAGTTTTTGGAAGGAAAAAAAGTACTTTTGAGGAGAAGCAAAAGTAATTTTGGAGAAGCAGAAAAAAGTAGCTTCTCTCCAAAAGCATTTTTTTGAGAAGCACTTTCGAGAAAAATACACTTAGAAATAGTTTTTTAAAGCTTGGCCAAACACTAATTGCTGCTCAGAAGTGCTTTTCAAACTAATTAACCAAACACAAACTACTTCTCACCAAAAGTACTTTTAAGAAAAATACTTTTGAACAAAAATATTTCTCAAGATAAGCTGATTTGCAGCTTGGCCAAACAGGCTATTAATGACTTAAAGAAGAAAAAGTTGTAAAATAAAGCTGGTAAGGGTAAATCTGAAACGGCTTCTCCCCACTCTTATTTTTTCACAAATCCAATGAAAGCTCTTTGTTTCGTTTTCCAACCGTTATTATAAGTAATTATACAATTAAGAGTATTAAAGTGTATTTAATCTGATATTGTCTTTTGATTTTTTAATTTTTTTTTCGACCGCCCAATTTTCAATCCAACTATCTATTGTGGTCTCTAGTTATTGTATAAAAAATCTTCGGGTTGGTTGTTAGTGGAGCTTATTAAATCTTAGCTTACTGCTCACACAAAAGTTGAAATAAGGAATGTCAAATTTTGGATTTTAGTGAGAGATTTTTTTTCTTTTTAAATTTTAGTGAGAGATGAGTGTCACATTTATCATGAATTGGAATTGAGATAACGATGCACAATTTATTTGTGATATACACATAAATGTATATATTAAAAACGTGTGATGCATTTATATATTGTCTGATACAATTAAGTGCCTACTATAAATATTTCTTTTTGCAATCCAGACAGATTCAGATTGTTTAAGATAGTAATTCTTTTGTTTTTTTAATTCCTTTAACATCGGAATGTATGGAAAGATATTAAAACCCATCCTAATATTTGTTATAGTAAGTCATTAATTAATTAATTTATTTATTTTCTACTCTCCAAAAAGGCAAGCACTAATTAAATTAGGGAATTAATTTAAGATAGAGAATTTATTGGGTAGCAATAGTCAGAACGAATTAAATCGGTCAAAATGTAGAGGTATGACTCGAAGATGATTCGCCGAAAAGGGAGCAAAAGATAGTTTTGTGTCTCGAGCTAACTCTATTTTGGCGCACGCCATAGTTTTTGGGTATTCATAACGAACAGCTCCGTTTGATCTATAGTTAACAAGTTTGAATCGTGAAAATAGTTATTAATATTTATAGTAAAAAAGGCTATCTATATCACATTTATTGGGATATGACCATTCCCTCGACCCTACATGAAAGAAGAATGCATATCTTGTGCATCGAATTGCCCCTTTTTTTATCCATTATTCGCTATTTTCTTTGGGCCCTAACTAAATTTGAATTTTACTTGAAAGTTTCATATTAGAGGATAAAATGCTCTGCAATATAGGTAACTTTATAATTCTGAGACATTAATTAAAAAAAAAAATTATTTAACATTCATTACAATCCTTATTGGTAGCTCATCACGCCCATTAAATTATACCGACAATAAGCATAAAAATAAAAAATAAAACATGATGGACCCCCAATGCACACGAGTATTCCCAATTCTCGTGGCGAGGATCCTTGTTTATTAGACGTGTCAATTTCAATTAAATAATTATTCACAATAAATATTTATGCTAATATAATATCATTTACTACAAATAATTAGGACTTAAGAGAGAAGTGACATATATATTTTACGTTCACAAGTAATTGTTAAAGTTAAATTTTATTTTTCTTTATGTGTTCTATTACATCCGATGAATAAAATATGTTATTAATCTTAAAGTTACAAACGAGAACAGGGTGATGAATTTAGAAGAACAATTGTAAAGAATGTTTCATTAGTCAGAATAGTCGTAGGCTTTCACTTATAACAATTCTCCTTTATGAGTTTTGTATATTTATGTACAATATTAAGTGCATTACTACTTTTTACGAGAAAAAAACAACATTACTACTTTTTTACAGTTAATATGGGAATATTTCAATTTATAGATATTTTTGTGAAACAGTTGGATATCTTTATTATGATATCTGAAATAGATTAATATAATCCCATTTAGATTTTAATTCCGGTCAAAATAAACTTTTTTATATTGAGTAACTATTAAGATTTTTAAAACAAAAAAAAATGATAGTGTACATAAATTAGAACGTGTTTGGTATAATGAAAATCATTTTTTAGAAAAATATTTTCTGTGATTTCTCGTTAGTGAAAATATTTTTTCTTTTCTTTTTTTGCAAAAAAATATATACTAATGAAAAATAATATTAAATATGAGTTATAAAGCCTGATAATTGCAAGAGAAAATGACTTTGGCTTATAAAATTTTAATGGAATTTTTACCCATGTTCTCTTCAAAACATCACAAAATAACTTTCTTCATACCAAAACACGCATATTAATCTTTTAAATTTCGTATTAAATTAAATTAAGTCATATTACTATTTATTTCAAAAAATTAACATGAGACCAAAGGAATAACAGGTAACCTGGGTGTGAAACTGGCAATAGCCGGTTTCCCGTGCGCCTAACAAGAAAAGACTCCTTTTGTTTTTTGGTCTCTTCCCTCTCCCTCTCACGTTAAATAGTAGAACCAAACAGCACACAAAATCACACACAACCAATTCTTTGTCTGCCTGTTATTTCCCTTTTAATTTCCTATTTGTGTCAGTCCAAAGTTGTCGAAAGAGAGATGACTGGGATTTCAAAGGAGGAAGAGAGTGTAACTCTTGAACTTCTTAGAAAGAAAATGGAAGATTTTGCTAAAGAAAGAGACTGGGAAAAATTTCACAGCCCCAGAAACCTTCTTTTGGCTCTGGTACTTTCCCCTGCTATCCACCTTTTTATTTTATTTCTTTTGTTTAATGAAAAATATTAAATTATTTCTCCACTTGTGTGTTATTTTTGCTTGCGCAGAGATTATGCTAATCTTTCTTGTTTGTCTTCACTTGTGATTTATTATGAATGACCAAATAACAAGCGAGGCTTGCTACCCATAACCGTTAGGTCTTGGGTTCGAGTCACGTTAGAGAGAAAGTGCAGAAACAATGTAAAGAGTTCAAGTCACGTTGGAGAAAAAGTGTAGAATTTAAACTCGTGATTTGTATGCTATGACTCAAAATTTATGTACTTGAATAATCACGCAACTAGTGATCCCTTGTTGATCCTCTACATTTTCCATGATTCGATAAATAAATAAATAAATAAAATTGCTTTAAATTGTATATAAAAGTTGCTTAGTTTCGAGTTACAAGTGGAAGTCTTTGTCTTTCTTCTGTTTTATTTCTTTAAAATTAAAAACTAAGAAAATATTTCAACTTGTAAGATCTGGTTATTGAACCAAAGCAAGATAAGAGAAACACTTGTCAAAAATTATGATTAAGTAATAGAAGTATATACGAGGGATGGGTAGGTCGCACTTATTTTTACATTTAGGGTGTGTTTGGTATAACGAAAAAAATTTCTGTGGAAAATGTTTTCTTGGAAAACAAGTAGTAATCTTATTCATTTTCCGGTGTTTGGTACGCAAATTAAGGTAAAGNAAATAATATTCAGATGTAATATCATTACTGAAAAGTGTGAGTACAATCAAGGCAAATAACTCAACATAGCTAAATAGCCCTAACATGTCTCAAACGGGCACATAGCCTAGACATGATTTATAGCATGAATAATAGCTCAAGTAGTTATACAAGTAGAGAAAACATGATAACACAATGACATGATAGTAAAACAAGGCACATAATAGCCTAAGGACTCCCCATATCATGAATAACCACGATGTACGCAAATATACTCATCACCACGTACGTGCGTCACCCTTAACACATAGCAAGCCTCGTAATCTACGGGAAAAATACTCTCAAGCAAAGCCTATACAAGATACTTACCTCAAAGCGCGAGAATTAATAATCCAGAAGCCCTTCCCTCTTGAATCGCCTCAAAATGGGTCAAATCTATCCAAAAAACAACTTAATAACATCAAACAACAGTATAAAATCTATTCCAAGCAATAAAGCTCCAATCTTTATCAAATGGCATAAATTCAACCAAAACATTAACCCGGACCCGCCTCCCGGAACTCAACCAAAGTCACAATCCTGACTACCCATCCGAATACGAGTCCAAATAATATAAAAGTTTTATCCAAATCCGACTTCAAATCGGGGTTCAAATCCCAAATAATCACTCTCCAAAATTTCGTACAAAACTCCCAATTTGTTCCCTTAGATTTCACCAACCAAAAGTCAAAATCAATGATAGAATCACGAATAACAATGAAATCCAAGTTACGAACACTTTTCTGCTTCTGCGAAGTCGCATTTGCGACCCAAGTCTCACTTCTGCGAGCTTCATTTAAGTCCCCGACCTCTCACACCTGCGGAGCATTTCTCTGCTTCTGTGATACTACGGGTGCGACTAAGAACCCGCTTCTACGCAACTCCCCCTAGCTTGCCTACCTGCTCCGCTTCTGTGCCCAGCACTCTGCATGTGTGTTGTAGCAGATCCGAAAATATTTCCGCATCTGCAAACTTCTCCTACCCCAGTCCAACTTGCTTCTGCGAGCTCAAGTCCGCATCGGACTAGAACTTGCGGACCAAACCTAGCTCCAAAATGATCCAGAATCCATTCAAAACACACCCGACCCCCTTGGGACCCTGTTCAAACTCACCAACTAGTCCCAAAATATAACACGGACCTACTCGGGGTCTCAAATCACACTAAATAACATCAAAACCACAAATCGCACCTCAATTCAAGCTTAATGAGCTAATAATCTTCCAACATTCAAATCATATGTCGAACCACGTCTTACCCACTTGGAATAACCCCAAATTTTGTAAACAAGTCCCAATGACATAAAGAACCTATTCAAACTCCCCGAACAACAATCCAAACCTGATAGCCTCAAGAGCAACGCCCGGTCAATCCTATGAACCTTTCAAACCTTCAACTTTAAAAGTTTTGATAATCAGTGCCAATGCAACCTAAGAACTTCTTCAAATTCGAACATACTCTTAAGTCAAAAATCACCATACAAACCTATCGGAACCATCAAAACACCAATCCAAGATTGTTTACACAAAAGTCAAATGTTGGTTAACTGTTATAACTTAAGCTTCCCACCATGACTAAGTATTCCAATTCACTTCAAAACTTCCCCGAAATCAAACCAACCATCCCTACAAGTAACAAAATAACAAATAAGTATACGAGAAGCATCAAATAGGGGAATTGGGCTAAAATACAAAAAATGACTATCTGGGTTATTACGTTCTCCCCCTCTTAAATAAACATTCGTCCTCGAATGAGTTTGGAATCATACCTAGGATATAAAAAGATGAGGATANTTTTTTGGAGAGTTGGTTGGTGAGGGTGGGGAAGGTTGAGAAGAGCTTTGGAAAATGTTTTCCTTCTTTTGATAAGGAAAATGTTTTCCAAAACATTTAAGCCAACCAAATATGGGAAAATTGAAAAATATTTTTCGGAAAATGTTTGTGGGGAAGGTTGAGAAGGAGCTTTGGAAAATGTTTTCCTTCTCTTGATAAGGAAAATGTTTTCCAAAACATTTAAGCCAACCAAACATGGGAAAATTGAAAAATATTTTTCGGAAAATGTTTTCCTTCGTACCAAACACACCCTTAGTCTGTATCATTTATGTGTTATTCTTTTCTTTTTAATCTTTTACCAAAAAAAAAGACACTTTTATATATTTGATAACTCTTTTAATTATAATTTTTTTTAATGATAGACATCAAGCAAGAAAAATGAAGCCCGACCACTACGCCAACGTTGCTTTATGCCATAAAAGTCATTTATATTTTATATTATAGTTCTATTTTTTGCACATATGTTTATATAGTAAAAAATTTCGACCAAGCTTGGATATACGTGCATCCGCCCCCCGAATAAGATAGTCATTGCTTTGGAAAAACGAGTAATATGACGATGATATAACGAACCCTTTATTTCGTTTAATTTTCTTGTTTCCTTTTTTTTATTGGTTAGATTAATCCAAATTACTACTATAAACAGGTGGGAGAAGTTGGAGAACTCTCAGAAATATTTCAGTGGAAAGGAGAAGTTCCAAAAGGGTTGCCTGATTGGAACGAAAAGGAGAAATTACATCTTGGTGAAGAACTTTCTGATGTTTTGCTATACCTCGTTAGGCTTTCTGATATTTGTGGGATTGATCTTGGCAAAGCTGCTCTTCGTAAAGTTGAACTTAATGCCATTAAATACCCTGTTAATCTCTGCAAAAGTTCTTCAAACAAATGCAATGACGAAGCCGGTAATTAAATCGCTAATTAACCGAGTTGCATATAAACTGGTCATTTTATATTATGCTAAATATGGTAAGTTAGGTGTCATAGGAGTTGAGAGAAAGTGGACTTACAGTAGCAGTGGATGTTTGTACTTTCATGGAAGATCTTTGGCATTTATTTTCTCATTGATTTTGGACTGTCTTGGCAGTTGAAACTATATCTTTTTTTACGCCGATCTATTCAATGTGCTTTCCCAAATCTGATAAAATTTCATCTTACTTTTTGATGCATAAGTTTTGTTCAGTTCAATTATAGCAATCTCCTATCTAGATTGCCATTGGAAATAGACTCTCTATTTAGGTAGACAGAGACATTTAGAATTCAAATTTTATGGTTTCTACTGTTAAGATTTATAGCAGTATTCTCTCGAATTACACTATGTGCGATTATACTGGATGTGTTTTGTTGATATTGTTCCTCTTCGGATTGCAAGGGATTTCCTTTCACATATTATTTTACGTGTTTAACTTATATACCATGTACAAATACAAAAGATTCACATTATTAGTATATTTTAATATATTATATAGTAGTAGATAATAATGTTTAATAAATAATTAAAAGATTTGCCAGATTACATTTTAAATTGGGATGCCGCTATCTTGATGAAGGTGATATAATTCTACTATTATTTGTAGATTTGGGTCCTAAATTCGTCCAATTATTTAATTTATGATGATGTTTTATAATTTGTTGGATCATGGTAAAGATTCAACAGAAGGGACAACATTGACTGTTCAGCACGAACGTAACAAGCCAGACAAATAAAAGATGACCAAATCAAATAATTTTGTTTAAAAAATAATGTACAATGTGTCCAAATGTGGTATTAAAGTATATTTTTTGAAAGACTTAATAGCATTGTAAGTTATAGATTATGATGTATGACCGGTGGCGGATCCACCTTGAGAGGTGGGGTGCCATGCCACCCACAAGTTAGGTGAGAATTTTTAGAATCTATGTTGTTACTTTTCAAAATATTGATTAAATGTATACGCTATCATCCGTAATATCAAACCAGAGGACGGTGCCATTGTTGGGAATTAATTTCTTAAAGTTATTCTTGTGTTTAGGCTTAGGTTCGAGTCTGATTCTAATAAGGAAATCAATTTTTCATTTGCTCGATTTCGCTTTTCTTTTATTTATTTTTTTCCTTTTGTCATCGCGCGTCTTTTCTATTTCCTTTGTTTTTCTATCCCTTTCCCTCTTTAATTTTTCATTTTCCAATCTTTTCTCCTTTTTTTTTTGTTTGTCAATGACTTTGAAAGAGGAACACATAAAAACAGAAACTTAAAATTATCAAAGCACCATAAATAAAAACCATGGCTCTTAATTCAAAATTCTGGCACTTATGTAAATAAAAAGTTTTACAAGATTATTCTTTTTAAAATTCTGTTAGCTTGTATATATTATATACAAAGTGCAATTGTCCTATTGCTTGCAAGGTATAATTTCTTTTTCAAAAATATTTTTTTGCTTATGCTCTTATAGAATTAGTGTGATTCTACTATTAAAAATACTCTCACTTATGCAAAAATTTTAATAAAAAAGGCATGATTCCTTAATTGAAGGAAGATTGCTAATTTTTACTTGTGCTCATTTATTTTATATCAAATTGTGTTGATTTCTCTATTGAAAATATCGTTAAAATTAGTAAACCGCGCCCAATGAACTCAAAATAGATCGAACCAAATTGAACTCAAAATATACTCACACTCAAACTTTATGGTCAGTGTGAGGGGTACATTAAAAGAAATGTGGCACCCGCTATCTTTAAATCCTAAATCCGCCTCTGTGTATGACGAATTAAAGTTCCTATATACATAGAGGTCTGCTATCCATAATATCAGGGGCGGAGGTAGGGTATTATTTACAGGTTTGTCTCAACTCAATAATTTTTACATAGATCATGTTTTTGTATTACGAAATTTATTAAATTTTTATAAATACTTAACTACGAATACAATAAGTCAATAACTAAAACATGATATGAATTCGACGTCAAATGCAAAACTCATAACTTCAAATCCTAGTTCCGTCTCTGCTTAATATCATTTATCCATGACTTTTCGTCAAGTTAACAATCTTGTGGCAATTATCAAATATCAAAATTATGTCAACAAGGTCGGCATAACATACGTCTTAATTACTTTTGTCTTATATTGCTTGTTTTCATTTCTTACGTTACTATCTTGTTGTGGACTTGACAAATATTTAATAAACATAATGTTTGATTCAAAAGATATCGAAATTTTTTTGAATACATCAATCAAAGAAAGTGAAGGGGTAAATCTTTGTTGAGTATAATAATATTCAGAACAAAAGATATACAAGCTGACTACAAAGGATAATACTTCTTGATCTTATCAAGATGAATCACCAAACGATAATGATCTCAATTGTTTATTTGAACAAGTGTTAAAAACGAGTGTTCTTAGTTGGAAGAATGTCCAGAGGGCCCCCTTACAAGGTTGTTTTCTCGCTATATATATAAGGGACAAATCCCTTCTACGTCCTAAAAGACAAGTCATAGGGAATATTCGAGAGAATATTCCTAATGCTCTCTAATGGAACTACACCACTGCAAAAGTCATACGGCCTCTTGTTCACTCGCTCGTCGTCTCCTACGAGATGTCGATCTACGAGGATCTCGTCGCCTGTCGTACTCATCAACGATCGTGGTCATCCAAATTTGGACCCATACAGTTAGTCCCTCCACTTGTCGAGGTCGCAACTTGGTGCGTCCTCGATGAGCGGACACCACTCGCTCTTATGGAGAAATTTGGTCTTACGAAGCGTCACGACTTGGCCAATAATAGGCGGTTAGCGTGCTCACCAAGACACCAAATAGTGCACTTTATCAGGAAATGACATCATCTCCTCGTGCATCATCATTATACGTGTTTTCGAGATAGGGGTTGATTGTTTGTCGCTTCGATTTCGGTGCCACTCTGCAACCTTCCGTTTCGATTCTGGTGCCACCCAATCCTATAAATAGGTGGAGGGTTTGTTTTTTTTTCAAAAACTCTTGGCCACCTTCTGCTTATTCTTCTCCCATTCTTTGTTCATAACTTTCTCTGCTGTTCTAACACCTTTTTCATCAAAAGGAATGCCAAGAACACATCGATCTCGTGAGGGGGTTTCTGAGGCCGCCCCGTTGTCTGTGGTGCCCCCTTCCGGCGGTGAGGATATGATGGTGGGAGAGGGGGATAGTTTTCCCATGGTGGAGGAGTTGTTGCCGAGGCACCCCATGTCTCGAAGCGACTTCCTCAAGGATCCTCCTCCTACTCCTGACCCTGTGCTCTCTGAAACGGAACAAGTTCATATTGACGCTCTCCGTACAAAGTATAACATCCCCGCTCATGTTGACATGGTTCCAGCGGGAAGGGATTTCGTGGAAGTCCATAGACCTGGGTACTGCGCTTTTTACGAGTACCCTTTCGTGATTGGTCATTATTTCCCCCTCCTTCCATTAATGAAGGAGTTCTGTAGATTCTACCAAGTTTGCCCAGCGCAACTCTCACCATACACGCTTAAGATACTCCTGTTGTTGACAAAGTATGCGGAGTTGGCGAGATGTGAGGTTACTATCCACCACCTCTTGCACCTGTTCTCCCGCAGCTTCCACATGGGCACTATGGTGCATTTGAGACATCGTGGAACAAGGGGGCTAGTGGTTGGGACCGACGACCGAGCAAGTCGTAAGTTTGGGCATAAGTACTTCTTTGTCAAAACTGAACACATTGTTTCTAATCCCGCCAGGTTCCCAGAGCGGTGGAACGAAACTCGTAAGTGTCGCCACTTATTTCACTCTTTATTTTCTTCTTCATTTATCATAGGTTTTGTTTGTTTCTCGTCTGCAGCTATAGGACGTCCACCCCGCCCTGTTGCGGGTATAAGGGATTGGTTAGCCCGTCTGTTGCCCCATGCAGTGGAGACCCGAGATTAGCCCGCCTTCGTAAAATGTTACAGCCCGAGAGTTTCATCTGGTAAACGTTTTCCCTTGTATCATTTCATCAGTTTTACATCGTCGTCTATTGATACAACTCTTCATGACGATAGGTCGAGGAGCTTCCAAGTAGAGGGCACCAATCCCTGCATTCTGATAGGCTATCGCTGCTGCAGGAATGCCGTTTACTTTGACTAAATCTGTTCGAGGGGGTTGTCCTCAGCCAATTCAAATGGAAGGTCCCTCTCGAGATATGGTCGTGAGGGAGGAGGCTTCTTTTGTATCGACCCCTCATTTATTGGACAAATTCTCTAATGGGGACGAGTCCTTACTGAGAAAAAGGAGGAGAATGGAGCTTAGGAAGGATGTGGACATGGACGCCGGTAGAAGTAGGGTGTCACATACGGCACCTGTACCTACATTTATGGTCGACGCCATCTTAGCGGGAAGGTCTCCTCAAACATAAGGGATTTACCCAGGGGTCAGCTCCGTGCGCTCCATTGAGGTTGGTGCATCATCCAACATTAGAGGAGGTTGGCGTGTCGAAGGCTCAGGCTCGGATTCAGATGTTGACCCAGAGGACGTTCGCGAGTTTGTAGGTCGCTATACTCATGTGGGGGTCAGAGTGGAAGGGTTTGATCGTCACATAGTTGTCCCGGGGGACTACAACTTGTTGTCAAACTGCGATCAAGTAGCATCTGTTTTAGCCCCTCTATGTGCTGACCTTGAGAGCGAGGTGCTTAGAGCGATGAGCGATATGGAGTTGTCTCAGAAAGTCGTTGGCATGGCCTTGCGGGTAGGTGTCTTTCTTTTCTTTTTCGTCATTTGGCTTGCGTTGTTATTGTCGACTTATCTTTTTGTCTTAACTTCTTTCTTTTTGTGCTAGACCCTTATCATTGAGACCGAGCGCGAGCGCCGGGAAAGAAAGAGGACGGCCATCTATGGGAAAATGTCTTCCAAATATCAACAGTATCGCGCTAAGCATCGTGCAATGGCCGACATTTATAATCAGGACCCTGATTTTCAATTGTTCCACGAGGGACTCAAATAGAGGGAGGACCAACTGGCGTGCAAGGTCGAGGAGCTAAGGGAGCGAGATGAGGAGCTTATGAAGGTTGTCGCCCGCAATAGTGAACTTGAGGCCTCCCTTAAGGTGAAGGAGGATGAGCTTGAGTTAAGTAGGGGGTGATGGCCGAGAATGCCGACTTGCAAGCAAAGGTGGCCAGTTTGACCGCTGAATTGGGTACGAAGGCGATGGGGATTGAGGGGCTTAAGGGCGAACTAAGTGTCGGTGCTTATAAGCTGGTGACTGCTATTTCTGGAACGACGGCCTTGGAGAATTCCGTCCGTGTTTTTAGGTAGGAGCTGATCAAGGAGAAGGAGGCATCTAAGCTTAAGGTAGTGAGGCTTGAGAGGCGTGTTAAG